ATTCAACTTAGCATCAGCAGCAACCAACTGATTATCAGAAGTCTCCGCCATAGGATTGATCTGTTCAAAATAACCACGATTTATGATAGGATGTCAGTCAAACAGTAGCGAACACAAATATTAGTACTTTAACATCAGCATTTGTGGAATGAGACTCACTTCTAACAATGTGCAATCGCAGTCACAGAAAAGTTTATAGAGTTTCTTCACTTGCTCAATTGACTCCTTTCTATCGGCCACTTTGGGAGCCAAGCCATCTACAACCTTAGCAGCATCTTCATCAGTTATTCCTTTAAAAACATCAATTGGTACCTATCAGCAATGGAACAAAAAGAAATGATTCAGTACCACAGGAAAACCCATAACCGCGAAAGAAAAGACTGCCTTCAAGGCCATGATAAAACATTTTTTTAAAGAAAGTAAATATGATTACCTTAACAATCATATCAGGGAATTTTTCAGCAAGGTCTTCAATGCTGGTTCCGCCTTTTCTGCAGGCAATTATGATCTAAAAACAGGAGTTCAAAAAAGCATTAATTAAGGTCAGTCATCCAATATGCAGACATCTCAAAGATAAACTAAGCGTAGTGAAAAGAAACTCATTTTGGAACATACTGGGCCAGCAGTTTTACGGTCGAGGGTGATAGCAAAGTACATCTCATTAACAAGAGACAACTTCTCGCACAAGTATACCTGTTCAAGAATTGAAAATTCAATATCAATTCCTAGATAACAAAGAAGGAAAAAATGGCACAATAATTTTGGGAAGCTAGAAACTTGATAAGGAAATAATAAATACATACACATATAGAGAAAAGGAGGAAAATAGATAAGACATATATTCACTGTAGTTTTAGATTTTGTCATCCTCAACATGTAACAACCATACCACAAGATAGGAATAAAATTACATTTATATTCATAATCAATCATGATTTGCCCCAATCACCAAGAACCAGAAGACCAAGAGGTCAATCACCAAAAACCTTAAATCTTAGTCCCCATCACAACCATGGTTTCATCATATAGCCAAAGCTTAGACCAAGCCAAGTGAGTTGTTGTCTTTTTAGAGTTTTGTTAAAAGTGCCTTACTGAAGAAAAAGGTGACATCTCCTATAAATCACAGAAGGTTATGTGGAATTCTATCAACTCTAACCATGCACAATAAGAGACATTTGTTCACAAGCATAACCCTTATTGGAGAAAATGTATGAGGTCAATATAACCTCCAGAAAATGGAATTTATGAACGGGCAGTCGATGACTAGGTTTTCACAGATAGGACCAATAATATTGCCAGAATTCAGACCAAGCCCATATAAAGTGTTGTTTTACGAAGTGTTCTCACTCATTTGTAAAGAAGGGTAGCTTGACTTTATAAAACGAGATTCCATCAATTTAAAAAATATTGATGAAACAAATTATTATAGACTAACAGATAATATCTAATACAGATAGATAGAGTAATATCTTTGACATAACTAATAAATAGATATATCAGTGTGTATGTGATACTCTGGTCATAATACCAAAAATATCTAGCAGGTAAATCTTAGAATAACATCCATGAAAGGGTAATGATACCAACCTTAAGAATTTCCCCAAAAAAAACATAAGAACAAAACAAAACCAAGGTATCTATCATTAATCCAAGACATAAAACACTGCTTTTCCACTCTAGATTTCTCAGTCATTGGTCAAACAGAAAAAATTATTAGTTATAATTTTCCAATGCACTTATTAGTCTTCCAGTAATTTCTTCATCAAATTGCAGACCGTCTAATTATTTCCTATTCATACATTATGGGAAAATGATAAAGAAAAATACCGAAGAAGTTGAGATGATGCCTAGATCTATCCCCAACAAGGCTAAGAGAATGCCATTTTTTTTATTTACCAATTACAAAAAAAGATATTAAACAACTGATTATTTTAACAGTAAGAAAAACCAGAGAAGATCAAGATCCATTCTTTTCCTCCACTAATCAACAAACAAGGACTTTTGAACATGTAGAATTTTTTAACAACATAGGAATTAGCAAGATATCAATATTACAATAACACACATTTGTGTTACAAGCTTAACTATGAAAAAGTATTTTGAGTATTACATGAATAGTCAATAACAAACCTTGCTGACAACTTTGCCTTGTGGACCAGTTTGTTTGGTAACAAGTATCTGCCCAAGCATCTTGCCTATGTGTAATAAAAATGCCAAATGAGATTATCATACTATAACCATAAAGACAACATTTGTAGGAGTTTAGAATTGAGACTCACTTTCAAGACAATCTTGAAAGACACCAAATAACCCAAAAAAAAAAAAGAGGAATATAAATTTTTACTAGTTTGCCCCATTATGAACTGAAATTACTTTAAAATGGGCCTATATTTCATTTATCTTTGCTCTTTTTAAGCTTTGAAAAGGACTCAGTCACACATAATAGCGAGGGACTGATGAATATTGTACCTTATTTTTCTTTTTATTCCTCTTATCTATACTCACATCAAGCTTTTCCTCATGCTAGCTTCCTAAAATGCCATCCCTACTGGCCTAAGATGCCTACTCTCTAAGCTTTCTTCTTTATCACCGCCAATGATTGTTCTATTCTTTGAACTTTAACTTAGAAAGTAACCGGCTTCCTCACTGGATGAGCAGTACCTTGCAATTTCCCTATAACCTGAAAATTTCAAAGCAGCTATACAAACATCTGCTGCGTAGAGTTGAAACTAGCTCTATGGTTTTTACCCACCCAGCCATGTAACATCTTAATATTTAGCGATCCTATTTGCCAATGAGATATTGGCAGAGATACAGAAACGATGGACTAGAAACAAACAAATGGGACTATACATCCATATATGGAGATTACAGAATCAATAAAATATTTAATAGAAGGCAACATACTTGCTATGTCTTCAACTTGATCAGCCTTGACAATATGTACTCCACCTTTAAGACCACTTTTGAATGTTCCCAAGCCTCGTCCACCTGCCAAAATTTGGCTTTTGACAACCAACTGCACATCAATAAAGTTATTCTTGAGCTCATTCAAAAGCATCAAAGGGGGGGAACGACAAAAAGAAATTTAGGATTCTGTGACTAGCTGGCTAGAAGGCCACTAGTTAGCCAAATTACACTGATTAACAAACTTTTTCAACTTTGACATTAAATTTTATGGTGCAATATTATGTTCGTTCACTCAATCCTCAGAGGAAACAAACAGAGAATTACAAACTCCTATCAGAATCACAAGAAGGTACCTCATTTTCCTTGGGAAACACATCCTGAATCACCTTTTTGATTTCATCAACAGAAGAAACAGCAACTCCCCTTGGGACATTGATCCCATGCTTGCCCATCAACTCAGCCCCCTATATATACATATTGATGCCATCAACCACCAAAAACAACCAAATAAGATCTACTTCCAGTAAAATAACGTATTATTTATCAGGAAAAATATGTCTAAAAAAAGGTATCAGGAAAACAAATAAAGCGCCTAATGATTCAGCAAACTTGAAGGGAATTCCCGGATTATTGGGAAACCAATATAGTATACATCCTCCACTAGAAAGAACAAGGAAAATCGAAACCACGTTCAATATCAATCATTATTTCCTTTTTCTCGCTTCTTTTTGTTTCTATCACGAGATCAAAACGAAAACAAACAGAATTAAAATTAAAATAAAATAAAATAAAATAAAAAAGATCATACTTCAATTGCATACATTAATAAACACATGAAGTATACATAAAATCTTACAGATGTAAGATACGCACGTAATAAGAAGAATAATAAGAGACCTGATATTCATGGATATTAAGACGTCGGAGTTGCTGTTGCTGCCATTTCCCGGCGATGGAGAGGGAACGGGATACTAACTTGTTCAATGTCCCTCTCATCTTCAAACTAATTAATCAACAATGTATTTGATAATCGATAAGACTGATCGGATCAGAGAAATATTTACGAGAAGCCCTAAAAACCAGAGGAAGACAAAGGGAAGTTCAACCGGAACAACGGTGTTCGGGTGAGAAAGAAAAGAGAGCAAAGCAGACCCTAGATTTCTTCTTTTCTTATTTCTATTATGACCCCTTTATTTTCATGTATTAGGGAATCTGCCCCTTTTTTTTATTTTCTACTATTTATTTACTAATATTGTCATTATATAATAAAAATAGTTTATATATTAATTTAAGCAAGAAAATATACACAATGTACACACTATACATACATAAAAGAATTCCACTTGGTGTATAGATATATCCCACTAATTTTTAAATTATTTGGTGTTAAATATTTCATGTTAAAAATAAATTTGAACGACTTTTTTAATAAATATATTCCAAATAAAATTAATATTTTTATTTATTCATAATTATTAAACATTTTATAAATAAATGTTATCATATATATTAATAGTTATAAATTTAAATATATTTTTTATGAATAAATAAAAATATTAAATAAATTAAAAATTAAATACATATTTTTCTATATAAATAAACAAGAGTTTTATTCAATCATCATATTAAACACCTTACAATTGAATTCCATCACATACAACATATAAATGTATACCAATAATCATAAATTTAAATTACATATTTTCTTGTACAAATTAAATTATTATTAACTATGAAATCTTTAAATATTCTATAATTAGAAGAAAAAAAAATATCATGTACAATAAATGCATTAATGTTCATAAATATGAACATATATTTTTTTGTATAAATAAATAATAACATTAGATAAATATTTTCATGTTATAAATAAAAATATAATGAATTTGATCAATATAATAACAGAATCGTTATATATATATATATAACATTATTTTTTTTCAAAGCTGGGTGGCAGCTTCCAGTAACCCTTTTGCTATTTTCTTTTACGAGTTGATACTGCAATACTTCTGGTGTTCTAATTATTTATAAGGAATGATGAGATGACAAAAACACGCTTGAAAAGAGACATCATAATCATCTTACATGTAACTGTAATGAATTATTTCCATTATAATCTTCTTCCACGACATAGTCATGGAGAACATATACATATATGTCTTGTATGTATATATTATGTTAAGGACAATCATGAGCGCACAAGCAAACTTGCTGCTGAGTAGAAGGGTCTGTTTTGCAGGACCCAAATCCATGTTTGTAGGTAGGAGCAGTACAATTGGACCTGCATTGTTGCCTGCAAGCTGCCTTATCACACCCGGGACAGTCGAACGATTTCATGCACCTCCCAGGTTCTTGACTCACTCCACTTTTCACTGCCCAGAAAAAGAATATAAGATTCCAAAACTACCCAGAAAACAAAATGTTGGTAATCGAGAAACCCAGAAATTTTCCATTCATTTTCTCGAGAAACAAACAGAAAATACAGTAGGTAATATCATAATTGAGGGAGAAAATATTAATAACCTGATGTAGAGAGGAGGAGCAGGAAAACCAAGGCGCAAGAATTAACAAACAGCTTTGCCATTTCTTTTGATCTAAATGCAGAAGATGAATGTCACTTTAGCTTAACCTTCAATTATTTATAGGCAAAGACAGAAAGCATTTATGTTAATACCATATTTGGAGATTTAATTGCCCTTTTTTTGGGTTCAACAATTTTTCAAAAGGTTGACAAAGAAGGTAACTAAAAAGGAAATCTTGTAGCTAATTATGGAATAAAATCGCAATAAAATCCCAACGTTATGAATTTAGTCATCCATTTATGGAATATATTGGATTTTTCAAATCATAATAATCTGACTGGATATTGCCAATCTTCATGTTATTATTATTTTAATTAACTTTTGTCTTTCCGATATATATTTATGTATATATATTTAAAAATTAATTAAAGGGATTATTGTCTTTGAATGTACTAATCACTTTATTAAATTTTCAGCTTATAAATATATATATGTGTATGTAAATGCTAAAGGAATGGATTTTCTTATGAATTAAAACAAAACTATTTAAAAAGGGTTAAATATTAATTAATATATAATGAAATTAAGACAAGAGGAAAACGATGCGGGTACTAAACTGAAAATCATTCATGACGGATGACAGACATTAATTTATTTGAACATTCATGATGGACTTTCATTTTAATAAGTAAAAACAAATGTTCGATATAGAACTTATGTATGTATATGTTCTCATCTATTTATAGTACATAATTACCCCATCACTTAAGAATCGGATTTTCAATAACGGTGCACAACCTTTTTGGCTCCCCGGATAATTTGATCTACTGTTGAATCCCCTTCCTTTGCTCTCAGACAGCTGCTTTTCTTGCAGTAATCATCAACCTCGTGGCATATGAACGACAAGCATAAGCTCTGTATTCCAGCTCCGAATACGAATATCTTGCTCTGTTTAGTTCACAAATGGAGTCTTCAGCAGAGGCCAAGCAAGTCATCTGGTAATGTGTAGAGAACAAATTCCAGTTCACAACCCACCTGCCTGTTCTGAGTTTTGATTTTGATTCATGCTTCTCCCGTGTATGCAAGTCCACTGCATTAAGAAAAGACATTTAAGAGAAAAAGAACACACAAATAAATATTGCAAAGAATTCGATGGTGCAGATGATCAACAATGAATAAGCAACTATAATGAATATGCATGATCTATGATCTTACAGTAGGTTCAAACTGAAAACCTGATTTGGTAAGGTAACTAGTAAGGTGGAGATACAGCAGTCTTATTCACCCAAGAAGGCCTTTTTGCATTATAGTAGAAATGTGCAATCATGTGGACCAACTCATCTGCCGTGCGAAACTCTGCAGAGATCAATCCTCAATTGTAACATGGTAAGAAATGAATCTGTATTTTTACAAATGAATTGAACTAGGGAAAGCATTTGTGAGGAGGGGCTGTTATCTTACTTTTCTCCCTATACACAATCCTGTTTCCTTTCAAAAATAGAATCTGCGGGCATTCTTTAGCTTTAAGAGCATAAGCCAAATCTCTCTCGATGTTGACGTCTATCTTAACAGCCTGTTTCCAGGAAGTTTCGAGGCTGTCATCATCAGCGCATGGACACAAAATAATTTAAGAAAATGCAAGGTTATTGCATGACAAGCTCCTCTCCTGGTTGCAAAGGAAAGTACAGGAAGGAGAACAATTTTTTTAGATCTAATGTTCATTCTACAGGAGTAACAGAACCTAAATAACCAAAATTCTCCAGACAGTGTCTAACAAAACAGAACACGACCCCTGGCTGCCTGGCAAACAAATGGAGGATAGAGGAGAATTGTTTCCTTAAGCAACCAAAACAGATACAGAATTTAGTTTTCATATTCCAAATTTATATTTGTTTAGGCGTAGAGCATGTTTGATAATTTAAAATGAAATAATGTTTAGAAAACAACAATGAATAGTCAAAATGGTGGTGTGACTTTGAAAAGTTTAAAAAGAATTTTCAATATTCTAGAAAAAATTAGTTTACTTATGATATGCTATCATGCAAATATGTACTTAAATATATATTTTACCTATATAACATATATGAGTTTAAGAAATTAAAGTTACAAAATGTTGCCATATACTCGATGACCGAAAAGCCTAAAACTTTGAAACAGAATTTGAATGGTCAATTTAGTAGTTTGCTAGTACCCTAGGCGGCAACCGATCTTTGGCACTCCAGTACACCTTGATTGCTTTCTCTAACTCTTTCAAAGTCTTCCAGTTATCGGTAGCCCTGTTAAGTAAATACCATAAATATATTAAAGATATGTAACGTTCCAATTTTGCACTTCCTCCACAGTAACAAACAATGAAAGAACACATTGCGATGAAAACACAAAAGCATACCCATTGTTTTATAGTTCTAAAGCAACATGTTCAAGTACAGTTTTGACTACAAGAAGTAAACTTATGGGCATATTTTTATGTGAAGACAAAGGTCAAACACAGCAGATATAACGAGCAACACGTTGTCATCCACTACAAAAATTGAAAGATGATATTGAAACCCACGTCAAGAAATGATGGCAGTTTTACTCAGGCAACCATTAATGGAGGAATTTTAGAAAATGGATAAAAAGCTACCTGTTGTGTCTCTCGAAAACAAGAACAACTAAAGGACTGGGATGAAAAGCGAAGCTCTCCCACTCCAAACAGTTTATTTCCATAACCCAGTTGTCGTCCACCTCCCCTTCCCAATCAATCACAGTCCCATCATCTCCCACCACATTCTTGATGGCATGCTTCTCGAAGTACTCCGACGCTCTTATTCCCCATCCCACCTCCGCATCCAACGGCCAGTCCGGGTCCTCTTCCTCCACCACCATCTTCTTCTTCTTCTTTTTATTCTTCATCCTCCCCCCATCACCAAAGTCGCTTTCATTTCCTTCCGTTTCGTCATCGTCATCTTCATCTTCATCTTCATCTTCATCTTCACCCTCAACAACGCTACTCTCGGCTCTGTTCTTCATCACTTCCTGCTTGTTCTCGAAAACGTCGGGGTTCTGCTGCCGGATTGCGTCGAAAGTTCGCCCGAGCGAGTCGCGCACGAAATCCTCTACGGCATCCGCTTCGCTCCTGCGGCCGCGCCTCGGCTTCCGAGGAATGGTTGCTGGAAACATTCTGCGGTCATCGTTGGCTTGAGTGGGGGGTTTCTGGCGGCGGCTTCGGGTTCCTGGTTGGGGGCTGGTTTCGGGGTCGGATACTGACTCAGATTCTGTTGAACGGGCAAGACAAGGAAAGGGTTTTGCAATTCGATGAGAATTTTTTATATCCTTTGATAAGAAGCGAGGAAGATAAGGATTTAAATTAGGATTGTTACTGCTTACAGCAGCACAGAGAGCAGAGGAGGGTTTCGAGATCACATAAGCTTGGAGGAGGAACATTTCTATTTTTTTTTTTATAAATACGGAAAATTAAGAAACAAGAGAGAGAACTGGCAGAATCAAACCCAAAACCGGGATTACCAGAGGAAGGAAGAAAACGAAAATGGCCAAAAGAATGAAGAAGGAAGCGGGCGAAGCAAAACCCAAAATCTCTTCCTTCTCCTGAGCTCTGTTTTCGCATTCATGAAATGCTGCGGACTCATTCAAGGTATCAACACGACACCGTTTTCGTGTAGGGGCCAGAACACATAATTAAACCGTTTTAAATTGATAGTTTTAATTTTCATTTAATTTTTTGATTACTAATTTTGAAGAACTCCTGTTCAACAAAACTTAAAACGATTACTTTATTATATTAAACATTTATTTTTTATGTAATAAAGATTTATATAAACGAATAAATATGGCATACCTGATATTTTTATTACAATATATTAAGAAAATATTATAATAATATTTTCACATTTTTAAGGTTTAAAAAAAAAAACATTAGCTCTTTTTTTATTTGTTTATGTTAACTATTTATCCACTCTCCTATTTTAGATTCCATATACAATTAAAATATAATAAATTATAAACAAATATTTTTTAAATACTAATTTTTTAAAAAATTATAATTTATTTGTAGATATATAGATTTGAGGGGTCCAACAAAATAATGTTAACAAATATCTAAAGCTCACAATGTATGTAGACCAAACTAAAAATGTGGTCATTGCATGATTCTAACAATCATGTTTGAAAAAATCACAGTATCATTTTATTGAAAAAATCTTCTCATAAAAAATACGGATTCGAATCGGACTTAAAAAATATTCTTATAATTTTTATATGTTAACGATTTAGATTCTATTTCTTTTAGATTTGGAAAAATCTTCGCAGAAAAAATAAAATTTTATTGGAATAATTTCTTCAAAGAAAATAAAATATTCATCTTTATAATTCTTTCAATATTAATTTAAATAAGCTTTAAATTTATTTTCTTTTTTTTTTTAGATGATACAACTAGTTAGTGATGTAATAATTTAATTTATAATTAAATCTACTTGTGAATACTTATTGGATATTTAAATTAGATACTTGTAAATGACCAAAATATGCATTTTATCCCTAAAACCAAAACCCCTTTTATGAATGAACTGGGATTTATCAGTTTTGATGGGACTGGACTGCTTATATATATATATATATATATATGTGCGCATAAGTGTACATATCGATATAGATGAGATGCAATTCAATTAAATAAAAATAAATGAATGTCTGTAATTTTAAATGTTTATTTGATTATACACGAAATCTGTGAGGTATGAGATTCCAGTACACAGAGGCATATGTATTGCGACGTTTCTTCTCGTAGAAGAGAGCTTCATTTTCCCCCTTTTTCTTCTCAGCAACTACAAACTTTTGCTTCTTAATCAAGTTCATTTCTCCCTCTTTCAATTAATCACCTTCTTCTCCATTTAATTAACCGAATGAAGTATTCTATAAATTTGATTGTAGAAATATGTTGGATTTAATTACAAGAATACATAAAAATTCTATTTGCATAATGAAATTGAACCTCTCAAACACAACCGAGCATCGAGAGTATCTACTAACTGACAACATACCTCTCTGTAATACATTCATTTTGCCCCATTGTGTTATCGTGATTCTCGAAAACGAAACCGTGACAGGCTGGAGATACCGCCATCGCTGAACCAGAATATAACTCACGCATGCAAAATAGAGAGCCATCAATTAATGCTTCCAACAACAGCAGTGTATGACTTGTAATCAGATTCATATCCGGGACTCGGCAAAATGTAAATATATATATATGTGTTACATATACATAAATATGCGCGTGTTTCTGTGTAAATCGCGTGCAGGAACGAAAGAAAAAGAATAGTAAACAATCGAATTAATGACTTTAAAATAAAAAAATCAAAATCCTTCTCTTCAATGATTCTGAGCAACGAACATTCCGAGTTTTTCTTTTTCCCAATATTGATCGTACAATGACATATATGTATGCATGGTTCATGCATACACATAACAAAACAGGCGAGAAAGAACCTGACTCAGAGTACCAGTCAAGAAAAATCTCCCCGCACAATATCGGATAAAAAAAAAAAAAAAAAAAAAAAAAAAAGGATACAGAGAGATGGTTACCACCACTACTATGGAAACTTACAAAGAAGAAAGAAGAAGGCCTGGATCTCTTCTACGGTTGTTTTTGGGTGGAGGAAATGAAAACCAATAATATCGCTCCACGTGTACAAAACCAACCCCTTAATAACCACCACCTCACGGCAGTTGTAAGAATCGAGCGAGCTGGGCAGGGTTGACGATGCCCGGCAAGTGGGTCCCATCTGCCCGCATAACATAAGCTACCTCCACGTACCCCTGACGCTTCCGCTCCCTCGCCTCATCCCCTTTCTCGGCTTCGGCTTTCTGGCTCGGCTGCATATTCTTTCTCGGCTCGGCTACCTGAACCCTAGCCGGGTCCCACGTCTCTCCGAAGAGCGTGCCCCTGGTGAGGAACTCGTGGGCCAAGTAACCGGCTAGGATACGGTTCTTGGATGGGCCCTGTACTACGGCGGCTTTGTTGAAGCCGGCTCGTAGAGCATCTGGCTTGAATGCTTTTGCTGCTGGCGGTCTAACGGCGTCAAATTCTTCTCTTTCTTTCCGCTTGTTTGGCGTCAAAACACGACGGGGAGGGGGACGCATCGTTTTGGTACTCATGGTTGGCTTTCGGGTGCATGCCACGTTAGCTCCCCGACCCCAAATCTACCGGCTAGAAAGCTGATAATAATGGGACGGTAAAAAGTAAAAGTAAAAAAAAAAAATGCAGATGGGTAAAACGGTAAATGAGAAAATTCCAGTTTTTTTATTATATAAAAAAAAAACTGAAATTTTATCAAGAGAAACAAAATAGTCGTCGCCGGAATCTGTGCCAGAAGCGGATCAGATGAAACAGAAAAAGGGAGAGAAAAAAAAGGGAGAGAGAAGTTTTGAAAGAGAAATTTACAGAGAGAGAGAGAGAGAGAGAGAGAGAGAGGGGTTTGAGACTGGAACAAATGGTGGGGTTGTGTTTATTTATAGAGGGTCGCTAAAAGGATTGCCCCTAGAGTTCACTAAAATAACGAAAAAACCGAGAACCTAAAATTACCATATTACCCTTCATCCCTTTTCGGCACACGCTCACTCTCTCGAGTCTCAGGATCCCCGAGCCTTTAAAAAATTACCACGAAAAGAAGTAACAAACACCAATTTACCGACAGTAAACAACAGCAACGCCTAATTCTCTCTCCTGCTTTAAGAAGCGGGTAATCTGTAATTAATTATTTACTTATGGACATAATTATTTCATTATTATTATTTTATTTTTTAAGTGAAATACAAAGAATCTTGTTTTAAATCCTGATTTTGAATTAACAAATCTTAATAAGAAAAACACTTAAATCAGAAGCTAATTTTGGTTTATAATCCTTTAATTTGATGTCTCTTAATCCTACCAAACAACTTTTTTTGGATTTTCCTTCTTTCACCTTTGAGTTTTGAATGTAATACATAACCCATGAAAATCCCTTTTTAACCCCATTTTTTTTTTATGTTTAGATTTTCAACTTAGCTTAATAATTCATGTGGTGGTCCATGTTTATACTTTCATTTCAATGTAAATCTTATCTTTTATACATAATTTTCTTTCTTACTTACTTTAGATATAAACAAATTGATGTTGAAAACCAAATATTTTATTAAAAAAAATACAAATTCATTCAAATACAACTCACTATATCTATAACAGGAATTAAAAGAAAATCTAATTTTTTATAGTATAAAAATGAATGAGATATTTTAGTTAATTGACTATTATATCCACAAATATTATGGTAGGATATATAAATTTAAAATCATCTTATATGGTAGGAACTGAAATTTTAAAATCCTTATACTGGAAAAAGAAAATAAAACATCGTGTGACTGAATACCAACCCATATAACATTTTAGTAAAATTGATTTATATGAGATTGGTAACCCAAATATCGATCATATTATGTTCAACGAATTTGAATTTACACGATTTTAATAAACTGACACATTCTTTAACTGTGTGTTATCATTTAATGTATATTTCTATTTAATACATTACGTATTTTTAATTAATATGTAGAGTTTGTTATAAGCGCGTATTTTATCGATGATATTACATCCAGTCCTTGACTAACTATAATAATAGATTGACTTTCACAACGGAGTACGATAAACGATATTTTTTTGTAAGCGCTCGCATAACTTTCTCTTATCCGAATAAATAATTTATTGAAATATAAAGTCACTGTTGATACTGACATATTAAATATTGTCAAATGCTCAAGAGTTTATCTATTAATTTATCTATCATAACTTTTTTTTTTTCTTTTTGTTGTTGGATATTTCATTTGTATACATATTCTCTTTGTTTCATAGGTGTATAGTGAGTTGTAAACAAAGTTATGGAAGGTTAAATCTTTGATAATTCTATTGTACGTGATATCAATCGCAAAAACTTTCGGATCTAAATTGAATTTCTTATAGTTAAAGAATAAATTAAAATATTCACTAAAAGAAATATGGAGTTCTTGCAACAACGTATTATAGGGTAGTGATCCTTTGTGGGTTATATTCTGATTAAATTAAAATCCATATTTAACTATGTTTGTCTAAGACCATGAGAACTTGATCAATTTACTGAACAAGTTTTTTTGACCTAGCATTCTATGTCAATAGTCTTATAAGAAAGTACGGAATCTATTCATGAACTAAAGGCCTTAAAAACATTAATAGCTAACACCTATAAATGATGGATCAAAAATTTTGGGCTTGTGATTTTAAAGTATATCTAGCTAGACTTATTTGATATAACAATCTTGATTGTACTTAATAATTCAAGCATATAATGACTTTTTTTAAGTTAAATTAAAGATTATATAATCTAAGAATATATATATTATAAATAAAAAAAAGGGTTAAAGCTTTCTTATGCATATATTTTTAGAGAACAACTAACTTTATACGTCTATCTTTTTTTAAATTATAAAAATCATATTTAGAATGCATCACAAAATAATAACATGCGAAATAGTTTTTAAAAAATGTGTTACATTCCAATATTATCGAGTACATATTTTTCACTACAAATTAAAAATGATAATTAACATGTTAAAAATGGTAATTAGATTCTTTATTATCAAGTTTTATTTTCGATAAATAATAAGTAATAAACCAAATAAATATTAACATTAAAGTGTACTAAAAAGGCCACGTAATATCATCCCCTGTCAAAAGCCATTAAACACCACATGAGCATACTAATATACGTTCATTGCAACACAAATAACATAATGAAATAGGTTGTCGTAAAAATCAATAGATTGATTAAATAACTTACAAACATAATGACAATGACTTCTACCATTTGAGCATGTTAATGCAAACTTTATGGAATAAGTCATTCGTATAATGAAGGCTAGAATACTCATCATGAATCATCTAAAAGTAGTTAAATAATCAAATTCTAGTACCCTTTATATCAAATAAGTTCGAGTATCCTCAATTACATTTAATGACTAATAGTTCTATTTACAACACGTTTTAATAGCTGATACATCTAAAAAAAATTCTATAGTCAGATTTCTTAATAATTCATACAAATCTCTCTAATAGTATCCTGAAGAGAATTATTAAAGTTGTCATTCGTATTCACCTTAACCTTGTTTGAAGAAGTGATTCTCAAAGTAAATCATTTCCATGTCATCTATCATTTTTAGAATCCAAAGCGTAAAGAATTATGAATTTTTTATTTTTGAAGAGTGTAGAGAGAGTTTTTTGAGTGGAAAGAAAAATTTACAAATATTTTTTATAGACTTTTTATATATTTAGAAATATATATATTTAAAAAATATTTTAACAATGGACATTTATTAAATTTTGATTCACTACTTACGTACGCATAAAATGAATTTCGATCCAAAATAGGCCCAAACATTAAAAAGTATATATAATAATATAATATACTCAATAAATAATGAGCCTAGATATGGACTAACAATTGAGTCCTAATTTTTTTAGTACAATTTAGTTTTTGAACTTACAAAATTATTTCATATTAGGATTCTTTACTAAAATTAGTATATAAGTTATTTATATATTGATGGAATTTTGCAATATTACCTAAAATATATTGTTTTAATTTAACATAATATACAAGTATAGGGATGACAAACTAATCCATGATTAGGCGAACTACTTAATTTCATATTGTCTTCTCGAGTTAAGTGTATTATGTTCATAAACTTAACGGTTATCTAGACCGATTAGATATTTTAAATATTCAAATAGAAAT